TCAGGGACATTTCCATTTTAACCCTCACATTGTGAGAACAAGGAGTTCGCAGGTCTTCCTTACTAGAAAGTTTCTGAATCTATCATTTAAAAAAAAAAAAGGTTTGATTAAAATTACTGAATGTTGCTCATTTTAAGATCTCCAGCAAAATCAAAATGTAAATACTGTGAATATTAAATATATGCAGCCCTACTTGCTAATGAGTACCTGCAGTGAATGGGTGCCATCAGAATGAGAGTTCAAAAGCTGATAAAAACATCATGGATTTGTTTCTTACAAACATGCAGCTTTTCACTTCACAGGATGTTAATTGATGGACTGGTGTGGTGTGGATTATTGTGATGTCTTTATCAGCTGTTTGGACTCTCATTCTGACGGCACCCATTCACTGCAGAAGATCCATTGTTGAGCGATATATTTTGATAGCATATATTGAGCATATATTTTGATAAAGAAACAAACTCATCTACATATTGGATGGCCCGAGGGTGAGTACATTTTCAGCAAATTCTTGGGTGAGTTACTCCTTGAAGGACTGATAATATCTGTGCTCTCCAACTCCCATAAAACTGCCCAATCAGATTTATACAGTTGAACACACGTGGGCGATCTGTCTCGCCGTTAAATAAGCACTGCTGTGTGTATGTAAAAACTCGTTTCCATTAATGGTTATTAACACGACTGATGCACTTTGGGGGTTTTAAACTGCTGAATAAATTAGGATGTCATCAAAAGTTAATAAGCATTGGGAGTGAGGGCCAGAGTTAGTTTAACACAGAAGCACAAGCATCCTACCTTAACTCGATTGATGTTGACCCCACTCATGCTTCCACTGCGGTCGATGAGGAAGATGTATTCCCCCTGAATGCTCCGCAGGTCAGAGGTCGTCGAACGGAGGTCTGGGCAGAAGTTCAGCATGGCCACGGGGTTGTGGAGGATGTCTTTATGGAGCCTCTTCCGAATGATGTCCACCTACACACCACACATCAGCCAGTGAAAGAGCCATTACCGAAGGCTATAATGGAAAAGCTGGTGAATCTCACAAAAACATGTCACATTAACAACAAAATGAAAAGAAAAAAATAAGAAGTTACACTTTTTCATATAGACAATAAAGGCCATTTTTAGGAACATTAAAGGGGATGTCTAATGCTATTTCATGCATTCCGACTTACTTACACTGCTAAAGAGTTGGATTCTCATGCAAAACATGACCAAAGTCTCAAAAAACGAGTTGGGCGTAGATAAGAAGGATGCAACACTACTCTATAGGTACTCAAGCAATTAAGCATATTTGATCCATTTTTTCTTTAAATCAACACAAATTAAAGCTAGTATAGCAAATAAAATAATTTTTAGAATTGAAATATATCATAACTTTTTATAACCGTATACTTTATAGTAAAACGCTCAATACATATGATGGCAATTTGATGGGAAAACATGCTTAATTCTCATAAAAAATGTCACAATCTAAAATAGGCTTAGGAAAACTTATATTTATATACACGCAATAAAATATTTTGTGTATATACAGATATAATATGCAAAACAAATACTATATATGTATAGTATTTAATTTAGTTTATGTGTGTATATGTTTGTATTCACGGACGGACGGACGGACAGACGGATGGACGGACGGACAGACAGACAGACAAATAGATAGATAGATAGATAGATAGATTGTATACATTAATGACATAAATTATATGTTTGACTCGGCTGCCTTATCAATTCGATTGCACAATACTAGCCTCGGGTCACCTGCGGATTGAGGCAATCTTACGCCGCAGCTTATGAGGCATCGAGGGATTCATTTATGCCTCCCAGACGCCGACGGAGGTCGAGATGCATGATGGGGTGGCTGAAGAAATATAGAGCTCAACTAAACAGTGCTTATAGAGCGAGAAATGATGTTATATGGCTGTGGACCTGGGAATGATGTTTCAATAGCCTATGATTTAATAAAGCGCCTCTTGTTTGGACAAGCTTTCAGGCACATGGAGAGATTAGCACTGGCTTGCTCTGAAAGGCCGACTCTATTGTCCAGTTAGCACAGGTCAGAGTGGCCGTGATCTTGTTTGTCTGTCCATGTGGGGACCAAATGGCCTGACAAAACACAACATTGCTGGGATGGTCCACAAGGAAAACGGATTCATAAAGGGACTAAAATGTTTGCTCATTGCCACTAGAAGTGGTTGCTAGGCTAGTTGCTGCCCTGAGTGGTTTTTAGCATTATTGTTGGCAAGTTTTCTAGGAGGTTTCTAAGGATGGGAATCATAAGAATTAAATTCTGATTCCTTTGAACAATTTTGATTCCTTAATGATTCTTTTAGTACTTTTAAGGAATAAATTTGATAATAAGAAATGTAATTGCATTGCCAAATGATGAGATCATTTCAGTAATAAAAAAAACACATTTAAAACAATTCTTGCAAAAGGTGTGTTAACATTTTAATGACTTTTCACAATCTTTTTAGAGGTGGCATAAATGCAGCCCAATAATTGGTGGTCGCTATATTTTATATATTATATATTATCAACAACATTATACTAAACTAATTAAGCATTCATATTTAATTATATTTATTTATTTTTGCATATTTATTGCATGTCATTTGAACAACCAGTCAGTAACTTTTCTGATTTAAGTCTTGAGGGGAGACCCCCCCCCCCC